TAACACCTCTGAATGCTGTTAGCTTATAAGCCTGTTTGTTAGCCCGAGATAGAATTTTGGGTTTGATGTTTAATACTCTTACATCCTTACTAATATGTATGAAGAACAAAGGACAAAGATGCTGTGTCTTGCATTTCCCACAACCAGATGGGACTTTTAGTACAATGAGACAAAGGGATGGAGCTAAAAGTGTTACAGGGTATGGTGGGAGTGCAATATATGATCGCACATTTGACGAGTACCTCAACTCCTTATCTCAAAGCAAGGTCAGGCAACCAGTCAGGAGGGGCAAGGGAGGATTACGGGGGGAGGTAAAACACTAAAAGACCAGAGAAATGCCTGCCCCTGACCGGAGCACAACCTCACTCCTTACCCCTCCCATGGGGTACAAAAGGGGTGGGATGAAGACCCCAACTCACGACCCTCCAGAACAGAACATGACCATAAGTTATAAGGGGTGTGACTAGGGGCGTGCACTGCAGGTATATTTGGGCCTGCTAAGAAGAAGGAGTGGGAGTGGGAATGGGGAATGGGAGTGGGAAGGGGAATGATAATGGTAATAGGGGAATGGGAGACTGGGGGAGTGGGAATAGAGAATGAGGAACAGGGACACAGACAAGGCTTTTCAGCATCAGAGCTGGGAAGGGGGACACAGGCTAAATGCTCTGCAGCATCAGAGCTGGAAACAGAACACTGGGAAGAGGGAGCTCCATTGGTGTGCGGAGCTAGGGGTTAAAAGAAGAAGGGGTTCCATTGGCGTATAGAACTGTGGTTGGAGGAGGGGAAGGGGAAAACTCTATCGGCATATAGAGATAAGCCCGACTGGTGTGAAGGGCTTCGGAATATGTTTGCTTGGAACTAACCCCAATAAACATCGCACTGCCTGCACTTTGAACTTCTGGTCTTCTGCTTTCCGTCTGCATTACAAGAACCAGGGAAGGGGGGAAGGGAAAGCCCTCTAACAAATGCCAAAAGTTTTGTCTTTCACTTGCCAGTGTAGACAAAGCCTTAGTCATTGGTATGAATCTTAGCCCTGCCGGGGGCAGGGA